TTGCAGTTGGGCAGATGAAGGTGCCTGTTTGTGCTGCTGCAGATGCACCATGGCGTTTCTTCTCCACCCAGTGGTTATTCCTCCTCTGGTCACTGCTATGCATGTACAACCTGACTGCCTGTCTCCAGTCACTGTGGTTGTCTGGAAGGGATTCCCACATCACAGGATTGATGTTGCCAGCCTTCCTGTCACTTTTGCAGATATCTTTGCAGCACAGAGTTGGTCTGCCAATGGGCCTGATGCCTGAAGCCAGCTCCCCCATATGCTGTTCTGTCAGCTGCCCCAAGACCCTTTCCTTTAGGTCGAATTCTTTAAAGTGAAAATAGTGCTGTAGACATCACAGGGATATAGCAAGATGAAGTAGGAGTTAATATACTGTTGCAAACAAGAGAGAATAAAGTCTCTTTGCACCACACAGCATGTGTCTATAAGTACAGTGGTACCTCTAGTTACAAACTTAATTCATACCGGAGGTCCGTTCTTAACTTGAAACTGTTCTTAACTAGAGGCGTGCTTTCACTAATGGGGCCACTTGCTGCTGCTGCGCCGCTGGCACACGATTTCCGTTCTCATCTTGGGGCAAAGTTCTCAACTAGAGGTAACTCTTCCAGGTTAGTGGAGTTTGTAACCTGAAGCATTTGTAACCTGAGGCATTTGTAACTTGAGGTACCATTGTACATGGAAAAGGGTTGAAATAAATTCTGGAGACAACACCACCAGTGATTGGTAAAGGAATCAACGAAGTAGATTATCCTTTGTTTGAAAAATTACAAAGTAAAATTTCTAGAAGAGCAGAGCTGGAAAATTATAAATTACATTGTTACTGCCAGTTGTACCTCTCTGAATACCTAAAATTTGTAACATTTTGGACAGCTGCCAAACTTGCTAGCTTGGAATTTGGACGGTTCATCATTTTTCTTCTGTAATGAATGTTAACCAATCTCTGGAGCTCAACAGAACTGTGGGATAAGTGCATGAGACGGTTGGCAAAAAGCAAGTGGTCAGATAAAAAGACCCGCATGTGCAGACCTTGAAGATGAATATTTTGAATCCACATTCAGTATCTCATATTTGGAAAACACAAATCCAGCAATTGAACATTTTCTATAACATCTTTAATACATATGTATTCCGGGGAAGTGCCTATAAAGAAGGAGTGAGGAGAGGGTGAAAGCTGGTCACTTTAGAAAAGTTGGTTTCTAGGAGCTATCATAGCGCTGCATTGGTGAAAGGTTTTAGGAAGGATTCTTTTTGAAACAGAAGAACATCTTAATGGATAGTTCTACCTAGTTTGTAGTATAGGCTACTTACTTTTTAATATTACTTCTGAGTAGACATAGTTAGGTTTCTAGCTTAAATATGTTGGACCTTTAGTTACTAGTAACAGCTTTCTGTGATCCTCAGGTGGTCACAGAGAGCTACCACAGAAGGCTATTTGTCTGGTCCAGGATTATCTACTCTGACAGCAGCTTTGTTTGTTCCTGGCATCTGTCTGTCTTGAGAGAGAATGGAAGAGTGTCCCATCCGGGGGGTAAAGTCAAACCATTGGAGAGCAATATGGGAGAGAGATGTCTTTTTGCAGCTGGGGCAGATGAAGGTGTCTGGTTTTGCTGCTACAGATGCACCAAGGCACCTCTCTCTGTGCTCCTCCCAGTAGCCATTTCTCCTCTGGTCACTGCTGTGGATACAAACAAAAAGGTAAAGGACCCCTGGATGGTTAAGTCCAGTCAAAAGCGACTACGGGGGTGCGGCACTCATCTCGCTTCAGGCCAAGGGAGTCAGTGTTTGTCCACAGACAGATTTCTGGGTCATGTGGCCAGCATGAGTAAACTGGTGCAACAGAACACCATGACAGAAACCAGAGTGCACATAAATACTGTTTACCTTCCTGCCACAGCGGTAACTATCTACAGTGGTTCCTCGGGTTAAGAACTTAATTCATTCTGGAGGTCTGTTCTTAACCTGAAACTCTTCTTAACCCGAAGCACCACTTTAGCTAATGGGGCCTCCCGCTGCTGCCACGCTGCCGCCACTTGATTTCTGTTCTCATCCTGAAGCAAAGTTCTTAACCTGAGGTACTATTTCTGGGTTAGCGGAGTCTGTAACCTGAAGCGTCTGTAACCTGAAGCGTCTGTAACACGAGGTACCACTGTACTTGCACTGGTGTGTTTTTGAACTGGGACAGAGCAACAGGAGCTCACCCAGTCTCACAGATTTGAACCACTGACCTTCCCATCAGCAAGCCCAAGAGGTTCAGTGGTTTAGACCACAGCGCCACCCGCTCCCTAGCGGATACAAGACCCATCTATCTCCAGATAGAGGCCTTTCCTATCAGTTGCTTCCTGCTCCTTTGGAGATGTTGAAGATTTAACCTGGGACCATTTGCATTGAAAGCAATGGAGCTAAAGTCTCTCCATTTGGTCCTCAGTTCTGGAGTTGTGTTAGGGTCCAGCATTTTTATTATTCACAGTTGTAATATTGGGGTAGGATAGCTAGGTTACTTACCTTGAACAAGAGGAGGAGTAGTATTGTTTTACTAAATTAATAACCACCCTAAAAACCTGTTATCCTAAATACTAGGGAGTAAGCCCCATTTAACACAGTAGTATTTACTTCCAAGTAAACATAGATCAGACTGTGGTACTAAAAAAAAAAAGACCATAGGCATTTAGTTGTTTAAGAATGGATGAGATTGCTTGCATTTTGCAGTCAGTGAACATCTGGGACCGATGCCACTAAAATAATACATGAAAAGTGGTAAGAGGAGGGAGCTAAAGCTGTTTCAGTTGTCAAGGGCATTGTCAGACACCAAATTGCTAAATGGCTCTTGCTACACAATAATGCACGTAACCAAGAAATGTACCATGTAGCTTGATGAATCTCCTGCTGCTTCCTGATTAGTACATCTATGGCTATTTCCTATAATTTTAATGCGAGTGATGTTTCTGGAAGTGCTTTATTGGTGAAGACCAAGCCTGCAGCCTCTGAACAAGGGTTTTATCTTTATAATAATCTTTTAAGAGATAATAACATTCCACGTGAATGGCATCACTCAGTCTGCACTGATGGTGCTTTCGCTATGACAGGCAAAGGATTCTTATTACAAGAGAGAAAGCTTTTAAGACTGCAGATATGTATGTAGGTTTGGATAAGACATGAACAGGCTCGAATCAAACTGATTCTCAGCTTTTATCTGAATCCTCCCAATCCATTCCAGAAATGGGAATTTGGACCTCCCAACAGCCACATACAATTGTTGCCCCTTAACCCTTATCACCACTGTTTTTTAAAGCATTGGCCATTTAAAATGACATTGCACATGTTGTGAATAAAGATGCATAATTTAGAATGTCTACTGAAAGATAATGGCTTGACTGCACTTGCATTGGATATACGAGGAGCATAATTGTTCCTCCACAAGGCATCTATGAACTATTCAGTCTGTTTTCCTGGCCCTTTGCCTCTTTGGAACTGTGTTAATCTACATTCCTGCCAAGGTCTGCAACCCAACTGTCTATCCTTAAAATGCTGCTCTTTAAGGTGGATTTATAGATTTGCTGGAAAGGAGGCTCAAGCATGTCCATTTCTATTAGATAAACTGTTCTTCTCTGTAAGAAGATGGTGAAAGGAAATAGAGTACTCTAAACCTGCCTTTTCAGATGAATCCTTTAAACCACGGGCTGGAGAAACTGTGGGCCTCCAGATGTTACAGGACTACAACTCCCATCATCCCTGACCATTGGCCAAGCTGATTGGGACTGATGGGAGTTGGAGTACATCAATAAGTAGTCAACAATTGGTATTTATTAGGGCTAGGCAAAGAGATTTCCCTAGGCATAGAATTCTTACCAAGGTTTTAAGAGATTCAATTGGGTCTGCCACCCCCTGGTTGCTTCCCTTGCCAAGCCCACCTGGGCCACCTACTCGCTTACCTGTGGGTCTAAGCGACCCACCCACTCACTTGCTTACCTGTCTGGGCTACCACCCACTCATATGGGCCACCTGCCTGCCTCCCTGCTGACATTTCCATCCTCCTCCCCCTGCAATACCGCTGTTCTCTCATTGTGCTGCAGTTCACACGAGTACTTGTTGGGCAGCAACATAAATTGCAGCATTATGACATGCTTACAGTTTTATTATCTAGTTAGAAAAAGAACACCAGGATTTTACTAGAATTTGCTGCACTTTTAACATTCAGTGTGTGTGGTTTTTTCAAGCAAGCAAACTTGAGTGTAAGAAAACCTTGGTAAGAATTCCATGGCTAGTGAAACCTTTTTGCAGAAATCTGCAAAGTGCTAGAAAAATCTAACTGCACACTAATTCTCAAAGTACTCTGAAAATGAGAGGAATGTAGTCAATTTACAAGGCTACATAGGCTGCAGTCCTTAACACAGTAAGACTTTTAAAAAAATTAACATACATACAGTGGTACCTCGGGTTACATACGCTTCAGGTTACATACACTTCAGGTTACAGACTCCACTAACCCAGAAATAGTACCTCGGGTTAAGAACTTTGCTTCAGGATGAGAACAGAAATTGTGCTCCGGCGGCGCAGTGGCAGCAGGAGACCCCAATAGCTAAAGTGGTGCTTCAGGTTGAGAACAGTTTCAGGTTAAGAACGGACCTCTGGAACGAATTAAGTACTTAACCTGAGGTACCACTGTACATACATACATACATGCATGCATAGAATAATGGTTGTTAACATCTAGAAAGGGGATGCTAACACACTCCTGGCCAGAAATCCTGTTATGGAAGATAAAACAATTTGAAGGATGATCCAGAGCTGTAAACTGGCATTAATTCCAGATTAAATTTCTCAGTATTAAAAAAGACATTATGTGTGGGGTGGGGTTTAAAAAAGCATTGTTAACACAAGATCACACACAGCAGTACTGTGACATTTGAGCAATAATTATAAAATGTAGATTTATTTGCAAACCCATTACTTGTCCATTGGCCAGTGTACAATACAGTTCTTTTTAAAAGACTTTTGGTTTAATGATGCTTCAAGGACCATTCCAATCTTGCACCAGTTGAAATCGCGATTCGTTCCCAATTCTCTCTGTAGTGATATGTGTAGAACGTAATTAAGAGACAGCTAAGATTCTGCTGAGTTGTGCATTCTTCCAAGATGCTTTAAGGAAAATATTATAGATGCATGAGTAATCCTTTTACTTGATAGCAGCAATTTAAAAGTGGGTCTTTGTAATTATGCTAATAATACCTGCCATTATATTTCACAACATACTTTGCAGAAGGGTAAGGGTTAGTAAACATTTTCATCCCTGACGTGCTGCAGTGAACCGAGGGGAAGTTTCTTCATTTATTCTTTTGTTTAATAAGTGTTACCAAAAAAAAATCAGCCCTGCTTTTATCCAGTGCTCAGATGAGCAAACTCAGAAAATGGTAGTTGAGATGTGGAGTCTTTCTGTTTCTAGGAAGGCTAAAATATGTTGCCATTTTGGCATAATGACCATAAAGAGAAAGCAATGGTTAAGAAGAGGAATTTCACATATTGATTTGAAGGAACCAGTCATACAGCTCCCTGAATGAATGAATGAATGAATGAATGAATGAATATCTTAAACGTGGACCACGGTGACAGGTAGATTTCCTAATAATGGGTATAAAAGGTATAAAAGGTATGGGTATAAAATGGGTATAAATTAGGTCCAGTCGTGACTGACTGGGGTTGCGGCGCTCATCTTGCTTTATTGGCCGAGGGAGCCAGTGTACAGCTTTCTGGTCATGTGGCCAGCATGACTAAGCCGCTTCTGGCGAACCAGAGCAGCACACGGAAACGCTGTTTACCTTCCCGCCGGAGTGGTACCTATTTATCTACTTGCACTTTGACGTGCTTTCGAACTGCTAGGTTGGCAGGAGCAGGGACTGAGCAATGGGAGCTCACGCCGTCGCGGGGATTCGAACCGCCAACTTTTGATTGGCAAGTCCTAGGCTCTGTGGTTTAACCCACAGCGCCACCCGCGTCCCAATAATGAGTATAGTCAACTGTTATTGGTATTCTGTTCTAAATTGTAAAGAAAAGGTTACAAATGAAGAAGGAACATTTTACTAAACATCAATCCATACAATATCCCCTCTACTATCTGCCATTTTGGAAACTGAATAATCTGATGTGGGGGAGTAATGTGGGATATCATGTGAGATTAAGGGCCAAAAAAGTTACAGTGGTACCTTGGTTCTCAAACTTAATCCATTCTGGAAGTCCCTTCTAAAACCAAAGCGTTCCAAAACCAAGGCGCACCTTCCCATAGGAAGTAATGCAAAATGGATTAATCCATTCCAGACTTTTAAAAACAACCTCTAAAACAGCAATATAACATGAATTTTACTATCTAACAAGACCATTGATCCATAGAATGAAAGCAGTAAATAATGTACTGCAGTCACACAACCAATCAATCAGTAGCTGAACTGGGTTCCACACAGTCACAAAAACAAAGAGAGCTGCAAAAACAAAACGCAAAATAAATAGCAAAAACAGACAGACCTCAGAGTAACACTCAAAACGGAAGTGTTGCACTCAATTCGGAAGCATAACACTCAAAACGGAGCACATTCGGCTTCTGAAAAAAGTTCGCAAACCGGAACACTTACTTCCAGATTTGCAGTGTTTGGGTTCCAAGTTGTTTGAGTACCAAGGCGTATGAGAACCAAGGTTCCACTGTAATTGCATAAGTGCATAAGTGCAATTAAAGTGATTTTTTTTTAAAAAAATGTGACTAGCAACTGTGGGAAGACCTAAATAGCCTCTGGACTATGAAGATGGTGGAGGGAAGCTAAATTCTTTCTCTCCCTGCTATGGTCCTAACAAAGAGTGCCTCTTTGAAGCTGCTACTTGAATCCACAGGAATCTACTGTTGGCACTAATGGAGGTTTCCTTTGAATTACAGTTTTTCCTGGGAGGGAAAGAGTTAACCTTCCTCTCCTCCCAACCTTGTAGTCCTGAGGCTACTCAGACCATGCTACTCAGACAAAAAATAATAATGCACAAGTTAATTGTATTCACACATCATATCTATTTTGGCCCTGAATGGTTTCTGTCTCTAGGGTTTTGTTTTGTTTTGAAGCACATTATGCAAGCCTCCTGGGGAAATTCATGTTAACCTCATCACACAAATTAACGTAAGCAAATTCAAATATTTGCTTGCTCCCAAGGGTCTGATTCCCACAGTCAAAGAGTGGCTTGTTGTTCTGCACTGATCTTGCCCCAGGTACACAATTAGGTCAAGAAGCTACTCTGTTATATCCATTGATGTACAGGTGATTTTTCACCCTGGTAACATCTACATCACAGCTTCAAACTGTGGGTTGATGGTGGTCCTTGCCTCTGCACACGGACTCCTGGGAACTGTGGTTTTGTGAAAGTGTGTGTGGTGGTGTTCAGGGATTTCTTGACAGAAAAAGGAAATTGCATCTGCACTCAGCCAGAAGGAAAGCCATACTTAGTAATATTGCTCTGAAATTAATATAATTAGTGCTGCCCAAGTGCTGCTATGATGGCAGTAATTGTCTCTCAGTGAGAAAATAGCCACATTGTGTGAGTCACCCTGCACTTGTGGGTTACATGGAGAAAGTACCCACTTCTTCTGAGAGCAATCTGGCCTGTGGAGTCTTTAGCAAGAACAAGAAAGAACAGACTGCTCATTTCTGTGCAGTAAAATTCAGAAGCTAGGTGACTCCACTTCCAGGGTATGTGGTGGTATGTTTGTGGTTATTCCATCAATGTGGGAAAAGGATAAAGCCCACTGCTGTTCAAAATTACCTATATTCTGAAGATGGCTTGCTGTTTTAGAAACGTGTGTGCTTTGTTTTTCTAATTGACTTTATGTACTTTGCCTAGTGCTGTCCAAAAATTTCACTTGCATCTTTTTTTAACATTTTCCATCCATTTCATGCTGAATTCCATGATTTGGTGGGAGAAGAAGACAGTTTTGTATATATGAATTATAGCATTTTCTGATGATAATTAAGGTGATTTCCAATTGCTAAGCAGCCACCAGCCAGCAACCAATACAAATGTCTTGCTGTGTGGTAAATTCTAAAACTTTGGCACTCCCCATTGGGCAATCTGCGTTGTAGCCCGTTGACATTCTGTGTTAAAAGCTATACAATAATTTCATGTTTTTTAAAAAAAAACAACCCCCAAATTTCCTGTGCATAAATGTGGAGACATCACCCCTTTTCTTGCCTAATGGAGCAATTAAACTAAGAGTTTCAGGTTCCCATGCTCCTAATTCATCTTTACAGCTCCCAGTGTACTATTTATTTCATACTTTAGGTTCAGCTCCATGGAGAGTGTATTTATAAATTTGGCTGACATGTGGATAATGTTTTTGACCTTTGATAATAGGAGACGGTTTTGAGTTTATGACAGAACTACAACCTTTTATGTTCCCATTCAGGCTCTTCTTCTTCTGAGGCATTCATAGCTCCTCTCTGTCTCTCTTCTTCTGAAATAAAAAATGGTAGATGGGAGAATTAATTTGCTCACAGTGCAAACTGCCTATGTTTGTTAATCCACAAAGCATGAATAATGTAAGGCAAGAAGGTTACCTAAGGTCCCACAAAGGGTTTAGGTTGCATGGGACGTGTTTCCAGATTATATAAAAAGTTAGGTCAAAGTAGAACAAATAGGAATGAAGTTATTGATTGTGATCATTATTCACATTGAAGAAGGGCAATGGAAAATACTGGAAAGTGATCAGGAAGAAGCAAGAAAAGAATACCCAGAAGAATTCTGAATGCAAGAAATGTGCAGAAGAGTGAAATATGTATTCAGTAAGTAGTTTAATGTGTGATTTTAAGGGATAACAGGAGATCCCTTCTTCAGTCTATTGAATAGATTATCAAGCACAGAGATCAAGCCACAGCTACTACTAATTTTAAGTGTAAATTAAATGAAGTACTTAGCACCTCTTTGCTTCTCATTTGTGTATACCAAATTGTCTTTATTTTTTTCCCAGCCAGCTATTTTAGAATGTAACTTATTGTGCTCAGGGCTTATTATGCTTCCAATGATAGGCTTTGATTCAGGGCTAATTATAGTAATTAAGACATTGCCTACACTGTTGCAGCCGTGCAGATTGTGGTACTTATGCCTGACAAAGCTCAGAATATATGGCCTCTAAGGGCATTGCTTTCAAACGCACTTTCCATCACCTTCTGAGCTGTGAACTTTGGGAATTTCATTTACAACTTGACTCCTACAGAGGTGCATATGGTGTGGTACAGAGCCACACCAAAGGAATGGGGTGTGGGAATAATTAAGGTAATTTGTTAACATCTGGCCCTCGGAGAGCCTCCACACAGATAAAGGGGGAGGTGGGGAGGCAAGATAAATGGCAGGGCTGCTCCTCCCATGCCAGCTGTCCAGAGAACATCTCCTCACACTAGACCTTATAAAACATGACACAATATGAGAAACATACCCAAACTAAAAAGTTCTTCCTTGAGCTTTGAGGGAAAGAAGCCATTTTTAATTCAACACAGTTGCATGCACCCCAATCTCTGAATGGTGAGAGACGCCCTGAGTTCTAGCACTTACCTTGGGTTTGGTTTCTTTGGAATGAAGATCAACCGAGGCTGTGGTGTCTTCAGGATACATAGTTCTATTTTCACATATATGCAACCCGAGCATAGGCTGGGAGGGCTCACAGCATCAACACTCCAGCAGATTTTGCCCTCCCAGCTAGATTTCGAGGGAGAGCCCCAAGCCACAGCTTTGGGTCCAGCACAGACTGAGACAAGCCTCTGTGTCTCCAGATTCCAGCATCAGCCAAAACTCACTGCACACACACTCCACTTTGGCCTATGGTTCCCACCCTGGGATAACACCAGCTAGCCAGGTGAAGGGGGTGGAGAAATGTCTAGCCACCTCCTGGAGAGCACCATCACTTAGTTGTCACTATGACAACATAGCTCGCACTGTGAGATGCTGATGAGAGCACTTAAGTGGCCAGCAAAGGCTATTACCTCACAAAGAGGCTAGTAGAACTGGTTCAGTGGCTTCTGCTAGATTCTAAACCTCACTGGATCACAGACCTGGAAGGGATTCATGGATATGAAACCTATAACAATATATATTCACATTTTCAGCATAATCTTGTTGTCTTATTTAAAGCCTGGCTTTTGCTTTCAGTCTACCACTAATTAAATGGGTAGTCAGAATAGGCTTGGCAGTACCAATTCCTACCCTGAACATAAGCACTGAGCTCTCCTGACGTAGTGGGAAGAAAGGCAGACATGGCTACTTCCCGCTGCTTAGCCTTTGAAATATACTCGGAGTCTTGTGTGGATTTCGTGCTCTTTATTCAGCTCATAGTAGCGAGGAATGAAAGCTCCCCCAAAATATCTGCTTTATATACATTATTTACACAATGGGCCGCACATGATTGGCTATTTCCGGGATTCTCCTATAGGCCAATCATGTTGTGGATTCACTTCCACCTGGAGCTGGATTGGGTGGCTCCTGCAGACCAATCAGACTGCTGCATTGTTCTAGGACCAATCAGACTGCTGCATTGTTCTAGGACCAATCAGAATGCTGCATTCTGAATCCTATTGTTCTAGGACCAATCAGACTGCTGCATTTTGGATCCTATTCAACTCAGTACATAACAGCCTTGTTGCTCATTATCCCTTCACCTGTTGTGACCAGCTGATCACAAAAGTGTCCTTAAGAGCAGTAAAGGGAGGAAGGGTGTCAGAGGAGTAAACAGGCAGACACAAAATGGCTGCCACATCCAAGAGATGAGAAAAAGGGCCATAAAATGGCACAAATGTGGAAGATTTGTCTTTACAGGTTTGAAACATGAATAGAAACAGCCAAAAATGTTCCAGAAACCTCCTTTTCCAGGGGAAAACAGAAATCATGACATAAGTCTGTTGCTGAATATCCAGACTCCAGGGAGAATGAAATGTTCTGTCAATGGCTTCTGGGCATTTCCAGTTCTGTTGTTATACTTGCATAATAGAGAGTGTTCTGGAGAATGTCGTAGGGGATTGCTGGAAGATGAGCAGGAAAATGAAATTCAGATGCTGTGGTTGATGTGCTTCCTCTATCTGGCAAGTAGGTGCTGTAGATTAGAGTTAGAAAATAAAACATAATTCGAAATTATTCCTAAACTAATTTCCCACATAAATATACATGCACGGTCACAAAGAAAAAGATGGCTCACCAGTAATTGTGCAATTTTTAAGAAAAATGATAGAAAAGAAGAACAAACACATAGAAAACACAACTCATAGGAGTAGTGGTTGGAGAACACCACACCAGATTAGAGTGATGATTGACACCAAATGTCATCTGCAAGCTTGCCGTGATTTGGGGTGTATGGGGAGATCATGGCTCACAGTCAGCCAGCTGGTTATTATTCAGCCATGTTCTGTTTCAGGTTTTTTACTCGATGAGCTTCATTGATAAAGAAAAAAGCGACTCGCATAGGTAAGTTGACCCAAAATAAGATTTTATCTTTTCAGCAGTCTTTTTCAGAAAACATTTCTGCATGAACTAGATTCCAAAAAATTGGCATGTTTTGCATACAGTTTTAAAACTTACTTATTCTGAACCTCTACAATCTCCAACTTTATTTTTTCTACTTGAGACTGATGCAGTCCCCCAATATATACTGCAGTTTGTGACATTAACTGGGCTGAATGGGCTAACATTATATAGCTTGTTCAGTGTCAAGGACAAGAAGAAAATGAAACACACATTTATTCATCCATAGATCTAATTTGGAATCCTCAGCTTATCAGTGTCTGTCTGTCTCCATCTCTCACAGACACACACACTTGCCAACATACCTGCCACACCAAATATATGCTAATTGACCTCATAGGAATGATATTCATTCAACACTCACCCAAAAGGATTTAGATGCAACAGCTGTAATCAGCAGTCAGACACCAACACCAAAACCACTTGCCTAACCACCACTTCCAGCAAATTAACAACAGTCCATGGCAAGAAAAGTTCAAACTCACATCTAGCCAGACACCAACACCAAAACCACTTGCCTAACCACCACTTCCAGCAAATTAACAACAGTCCATGGCAAGAAAAGTTCAAACTCACATCTAGCCAGAAACCAACACCAAAACCACTTGCCTAACCACCACTTCCAGCAAATTAACAACAGTCCATGGCAAGAAAAGTTCAAACTCACATCTAGCCATGGATTTCATTTATTATCCTGAGTTTTGAATAGTGCTGTGCCAAAAGCTACTTCTGCAATTCTTTTTTTTTTTTTACCATTCTCCATCATCTATGAGAAAAGAAAATGCATTTTAAAATCAATGAAGAGAAATTTGGATGACATTCTGATGAGGGGTTTGCAGGGTTGTCACCTTACTTTTGAGGTAACTGAGACAGGTTTGTGAGAGTCCTTCTTATGTTCCACAAAACATCTCACCACCAGCCTGCGTGAGTCAAAATGCATATAAGAAAATGTGTTTATTGGGAGGAAATTGTACTAAAATGCTGGCAAATTTTCATGAGCATTTCTTTGTTTTGGTTTCTTTTACAAAAATCACAAGTTGCAGCAAAATGTGGTGAACTGAGTTTAAGATGAGAAATGAGATACTTGAGAGAACTGAATTGCCAGATCCTTCCTAAACCTCCCCCCCAAACACTGCCTACTGAGTTACAATGAGCAGTAGGACACAACTCTCTCTTTTTGCCTTGTAGTCAGCTTTTGCAGTGAAATATGCTCTCTTAGAATCTCCTAGACCAGAATACATGCAGAATATAAAACCATAAAAACGTATTTCTTTATAGCCTTTTAACCTAGCAGTTCGAAAGCACATCAAAGTGCAAGTAGATAAATAGGTACCGCTCCAGCGGGAAGGTAAACGGCATTTCCATGTGCTGCTCTGGTCCGCCAGAAGCGGCTTAGTCATGCTGGCCACATGACCCGGAAGCTGTACGCCGGCTCCCTCGGCCAATAAAGCGAGATGAGTGCCGCAACCCCAGAGTCGGCCATGACTGGACCTAATGGTCAGGGGTCCCTTTACCTTTACCTTTTTAACCATTCCTTATACTTTCAGCCTGATGCCACTCGCTAACTCACCTCTCTGCCCCACCATCTCCTACTGTTCTCAAGGCTCATTCTGACTCCACTCCACATTCCAGCACACTCCTCTGCTGTCTAGGATGGCTCCACTCACTGTTCTGTTGTGAAAAGGAAATCCAATTGCACCTGAATCCCCGTGTGCTTGAGAGATGGAAGCTGATAAGTGGCTTTAGTTGACATATGGCTCAGTTTTAAAATATACAGGCAAATGGGGTATTTGCTCTTCCATAAGAACCCTTCTGTTTTTCTCCACTGAGGCAACCATAAAAAAATGTATTTTCCATACATCAGTCTCATCACCTTTAAGGAATATCACTTGGTTCTCATAAATGAAACCCTTGTTCTTTTTTCTCCTTGATGACAGGATGGATATCTTCTTTCTCCAAATTCATTGTGTGCATGATATAATGTGTGAACTATCTTTGGCCCTGCTTTTAATTTCCCTTTGCCGTTTGCTTCCTACCTTCTGCTCCAAGTCTGCAACTTTCCGAAAGTAAAATTTGCTTCCTATTCACAGCTTTTTTTCAACTAAAGAATCCAGTTTAATTTTCTCTAGTGTTCTTAAGCTGTGCTACCTTTCCATCTCCATTTATCATCGTCTAGCACTTAATTCTCTTTTCTGCAATTACTATGTTTTCTCCCATTTTTCCTGTCAACATATAATTCATTACTGGCAATCTATACCGAGTAGTTCCTGCCTCTTCTTATCACTTGACAATCTGTCACATTTTTGCAATCTTCTTTCCGGGTGAAAATGTAGTCAATCTGACTTTCTTTCGGCCACATAGATTACAAAATTTTGCTCTTTCTTACAAAGTAGAGTTTTAACTTTCAAGATCGTTAAGGAAAAAGTCCAGAGTACACTTTCTTCCTCTAAAAGAGCCAGCTCAAACAAAAATCATACAAGTAAAATAAAACAATTGCAAACAATTCACTATACCAAACAGGACTTGTTCTGGTTATAGATGAGAAGAATTGCAAACCTATAAAAGATTTACAAAATATTGTTATCCTAAAGTAGTGTGAAATATCACTGGTTACAGGCATGCTTTAACGCTGAGTTTGTGTTTCCTATGGGACAATAAGGCATGGCGGAGGCTGTGGTGTCTTTATTATATATGGTTTATTTACACTTATATACAACCTGCATCTACATTGGAGGGGCCTACAGCATCAAAGCCCCAATAAGTTCTGGCTTCTTCCAAACTGTTGGAAGGTTACAGCGCCTCCTGTGGATGTACAGATCAATACGAGAGAGACATGTTTCATTGCAGCTGGGGCAGATGAAGGCATCTGGTTGTGCTGCTGCAGATGCACCATGACATTTCTTCTCTCTGCTCTCCTCCCAGTGGTCATTCCTGCTCTGGTCATTGCAAAGGATGCACAAAGACTTTATGCATTTTCATTCAAGGAGGGATGGGGGTCTGGTCAACCTTGCATGTCTCCAGGCCAAGACAAAAGTGTCGTGAGTCTCTGTGACTGGTCAGACAACTATGGCTTAAGGTGGACAGAGATGGGTCATGATATATCAGTTATGAGCTCTTTTATTTTTAACGCACTTTTAGAGAAGGGTGCTGTGTGACACCATAGTGAATTTCTCCTAAGCAATTGGGGTTGTTGGGATCAAAAAACATCTCTATAAAATATATCTAAGATTGTCCTTCATTCATGATGTCGGTCACTGAAAGCGAAGATGGTTATTTTGTCCAAATCCTGATTGCACTCAAATGCACATACAGTGGTACCTCGGGTTACATACGCTTCAGGTTACATACGCTTCAAGTTACAGACTCCGCTAACCCAGAAATATTACCTTGGGTTAAGAACTTTGCTTCAGGATGAGAACAGAAATCGTGCTCCGGCAGCGCGGCAGCAGCAGGAGGCCCCATTAGCTAAAGTGGTGCTTCAGGTTAAGAACAGTTTCAGGTTAAGAACAGACCTCCAGAACGAATTAAGTACTTAACCCGAGGTACCACTTTACTGCCTTTCAATAAGCCAAACTCTTAATAAGAAAGCCTTAGCAAATCTAAATGTGTTCTGCTTTATTCTGTCCTGTATCAGTTGGAAAAAATGTTACTTCCCTCGCCTGTGCTAAACAAACTGTGCTAAAACAAATCTAAACCAAAAATTAGCTTCCCCTGTAACTAATGGCTGTAGCCACCAGGTGGCAG